TTAAAGTAGGTTCATTTATGAATGCTGTGATTCTAATAATTGGGAAAGGGATAGTTGTTGTCGATTACTAATGAAGTTCATTGTGTTTTCTAAGGCCTGGATAGAAGCTGGTACAAAATAAACTCCTTTGATAAAGTTAATAAGCTTTAAACCTTCAACTGAGATGATGATAATGGTGTTGATGGATGGACGGTGGTTGTGGTTATGGTGGTGGTGGTGGTGGTGGTGGTGTGTGTGTGTGTGTGTGTGTGCACGTGCGATTGAATGTTTGTGTGTTTATGCTCTGAGACCAGTGAACAAGGAGGCTTGTCTTGAATTGATAGCTTAGGCTGCAGTGGAATGATACTTCAGAACATATGCATCACAGAGCCAACAGGCAGACTTTGGAAATTAATGGATCCTCGTGTGATTTGCAGACATCTGCCAACAAAGGTAACAAATGAATTTAGTGGGAATCTGTCCATGAAGATAACAATGCAATTCAATGAAATTAGTTCTAGTAGGCATTTCCTCGGTTGCTCAAACACACACATTGTTGGAAACTACAGTCAGAATTAAATGCAAGCTGAAACACATTCAGATTGAGAAGAGATATCTCATAAGCTTTTGACTAGGTAAGTCCTGGTAGTTTATTAATCCTCCATTGAAAATGAATAGACACATGATGTATCAAGTATTTAGAGGTGATTTGTAGATGATATATAAATGTTACACTCCACACCTTCACATGTCAAGTGTGAAGGCTTAGTCTCTGTTTCTTTATAAAAATCATTGATGAGTAAGTAGTAAGGAATAAAACTCTGGCACCATAAGGTGGGGTACCACTATACTAAGGAGGCAAGAGTATAGACAAGTAAGATACAGATAACAGCCAGGGAAGGTTAAAACCAGAATTAATAATTACAGGTGAATGAAAATTCAGTCTTGCAGAAGTACTGTATATATTAATAAGACAACTTTTTAACACCAAGAATGTCTAAGGTATTTCAGAATGATGGGTATAAAATGCAGCCTGGAGAGATGCTGGCAGCTACTCTATAGTGCATTCAATGTATCATCAGGTTTTGAGTAAATTAATACAGTTGGTTTGCTAGGATAGAAAATAGTTCATTTTTAAAATTTGAACATATTATTTTTTTTCTTATTTTTTCATACAATATATTTTAATCATATTCTTCCCCTTCCTCAACTCCTTCCAGAGTCTTTCCATCTCCTTACTTATCCAACTGTTTATTTTTTCTCTTTCTCAGGAAAAACAAAAACAAGACAAAAATAAAAACAAACAAGCAATCAAAAAATAAGACAAACCAAACTAAACCAAATCAAAAGGCATATCAAGTATATAAAAACAAACAATAAAATATAATAAAATATGGAGTCTGTTTTGTGCTAACCAGCTACTCTTGGGCATGAGCCCTACCTTGGAACATGGTTGATATACTCAGTGACACTCTATTGGTGCAAACTAGTTTTCCCTTTCCCTTGGTTAGGAGAAGTAATTTCTGTTCACTTTCCTTCTCAATGCTGAGATATTTTTATGCTTTAAACCTATGCAGGTTTCGTGTTTCCTCTTATGGTTCTTCATTGATGTACCTGGATGGTCCATCAGTTAGGCAATAATGAGATCCACACACTCTGCACTTCTTTATATTAGTTGGTTTGCCTTCTATCCCCTTGGGATTCTATTCTTTGTATTGCAGAGATATTGTACACTAGAGAAATATTTGCCAGAATGAGTCAGAGATCGGATACACCTAACTCTCAGGAGTTATTCAGCTCTGTCATTCAAGTTGGGAGTCAGTGCAGTGAATGCAGTGCAGTGAAGTTGAGTTAGTTAGCAAGTTTGTTTGTTGAGTTCAGTTTAGTCAGTTAGTTCAGTTGAGTTCAGTCAGTTTAGTTCAAAGCAGGTTTCAGCTAGAGAATGAGAAGGAGTCAGAAGATCAGAGAAATTGCTAGAGTAATTCAGTGAGAAGTTGAGAGAAGGCAGATTGAATTAGTCAGCTTGGAGAGGAGTTTGAACCAGAACAGCTGAGTTGAACAAGCCACCCAGAGTTCAGAAAGAATTAGAAACAGTGAGTTTATTCATCAGTAAGCCTAGTAAGCCTCTAAGATGACAATTACATCAGCTGAATAAAGGATACTTTTTCAGGAAACAGAAGGAACATTGCCAGATTTATTTTATGAAGCCACAATTACACTGATACCCAAGCCACATAAAGATTTAACAAAGAGAGAATTACAAACCAACTTTTCTTATAGGCATAGGTGGAAAAATACTCAAAATGCTTGCAAGCCTAGTCTAAGAACATATCAAAAAGATCATCCACCTTGATCAAGTGTTTTATCCCATATATGCAGGGATGGCTTAACATGTGGAAACCAGAGGAAACATTACTGGAAATAACACCCTTCACTTAAATAATATTAAATATCTTGGGGTAACTCTAACTAAGCAAGTGAAAGTCTTGTAGGATAGAAAAATTCAAAGATTTGAAGAAATAAGTTGAAGAAGATATCAGAAGATTAAAATGTCTCCAATACTCATGGGTCTGTTGGATTAACAATAGTAAAAATGATCATCCTAGTAAAAGCAACTTACCGGTTCGATGCAATATTAATCAAAATTTCAATACAATTCCTTACTGACTTGAAAGTATATTTTTCAACTTCATTTGGAAAAGCAACAAAACTAAGCATAGCTAAACGAATCCTGACTAATAAAATAACTGATGGAGCTATTAATCACCCCTGATTTCAAGTTATACTAAAGAGGTATAGGACTTAAAAATTGCTTGACATTGACATACAAACAGACAGTCATTAATCAACAGAATAGATTAGAAGACCCAAACATAAATTCACACACATATGAATGGCTGATTTTGATAAAGAAGTCATAAATGTACGACGGAATAAAAGAAGAGTGTTAGAAAATTATTGCTGGTCTAACTGGATGTCTGCATGTAGAGAATGTAAATCGATCCGTATTTATCACCTTGCACAAAACTCAAGTCCAAGTATATCAAATACCTGTCAGATACACTAAACCTGATAGAAGAAAAAGTAGGGAATAACCTTGAATGCAGTGGCCTTGGAGGCAACTTTCTAAACAGAACACCAAATAGTATAGGAACTAAGATAAACAATTTATATCAAGGACCCCCCAAAACTGAAAAACTTCTAAAGGCAAAGGGAAAGCCTACAGAATAGGAAAAGCTTACAAACTTTACTCCTTTCATTATTAATGTTGAACAGAAATGGAGAAAGTGAGTATCCTCATTTTTCTCCTGACTTAAAGGAAAAAATAACATTTTGCTGTTGAATATGATGTTAGCTTTTGGATTGTCATATATAGCCTGTGTAGTTCATTCCCAGAATTGCTTTTGTTTTTTAAAGGAAACTTTACAAGAAGATAGAAATCAAGATCCAGGAAGCTTAAAGGTGTACTTAACAGCATGACTTCAAACAATGATATCAACGCATACTATAGTCAAGTGGTCAAAAGCCAAATGAAAAAGGAGTTGAAACACAACAACAACAACAACAACAACAACAACAACCAAACAAAAACCCAAAAAGCAAAAAAACAAAAACCACACCCTAGACCAAACCATAACAAAAAACAAGCAAACAACTCTAATTTTCTACTTATAAGGAATTCATAATTAGGTTATTTCTAGTGTTGAAACACATACTTTGCAAATGTCTCTGTGCTTGATACATTACTTATGTTCAAAAATTTTTGCTAAATGAATGAGGGACAAAGATGCTGAAGAATTTATTTTATTCTGATATAGAATGATATATATATGTACATATATATCATCTATATGATAAATGAATGATATATATATGATTTATAGATAAATAAAACACCATTTAAAACAATTTTTTCATAATAAACTTTGCCAAAAATCAGAATGACTAGTACAAAGTTATAACTCAAATATTTCACAATCATAGGTTAATGATATTTTACTGATAACCAAGAGAATTTCAAGGTAAATAATTTTTCCATATGTGGAGAATCTATTTTAGTTTTTCCTGGTTTTCACTCTAATAAACTTGTCATTCCCTAAGTAGTCTAACTAGAATTCTCCCTATGCTTTTAATCATGAAAAGGCAAGAAAGAACTCCTTAGCTTACAATATTTTGCCTCTAAATGTTGTAGAATTCATTTGTCTTCCATAAAATTTTCATTCAAGTATTACCTATTAAATATATATTAGACATTGTGCTATTTTCTAGAAGTTGTTGGTTCTACCTACCAAGCACTTTATAGAACATAATTGCATAACTAATAAAGAGAAATTTCTGCCAGATAGTCAGTGTTCTTTTGTTGTTGAGCCACCATCCTTTTGGATGGAGGATCAATGTAATATAGGTGATAGAAACAATAGAAAATGTTTCCGAAGTTTATATGGTATTTTAAAAAAATGTGATGATAAATTTTATATTTAGTTATTATAAATTAAATTGACCATTGGTGTTATAGCCCTGTACTAGATATTGCAATGATCAAGATGATTAACAGCTATCAAATATAATTATATGATGTATAAAAAGGCAGAAAAAATAATGAATGATTGATTTTCAGGATATATATATATATTTTTCCCAATCTCTTACTAAAAATTATAAATAGTTTATTTCTTTGACTTGCTTATCATCATTATATGATATAGTATCATCACAATTCAGAGTATATCCTGGAAAATTAGTCATGATTTGTTTAATGAGTCATGAATATGGTCTTGCATCTCACCTGTAAAATGGAGACAATACAAATGTAGAGATTATTCTTCAACACTACTATGTTTTATTATTCTTGGGTGAAGAAAAGTCCATCAACACATATTGACTGAAGTTTGTGAAGCTAATTTATAATCTGGTAGAATCTGGTACAAGTCCAGGGTGAAATTCTTGCTGGCTTCAAATACAGTGTTATTTTGATGATTCACTTTTTGATACTTGTCTCAAATGTTGAACTTAAGTTACATTTATTTGTTGATGGAAATAACATCATCTTCCCATCTACACAATTTCTTAATGGCATCTTTCATCTGAGCATTTCTCAAGGTGTAGATTAAAGGATTTAACAAGGGAGTTATCATAGTATAGAACACAGCAACTGCTTTATCAATAGACAAAGTGGCTGAAGGTCTCATGTATACAAAAATGCAGGGCACAAAAAACAAGACAACCACTGTTATGTGGGAGACACAGGTGGAGAGAGCTTTGCGCCTCCCCTCTGCACTGTGGCTTCTTAATGAACGGAGGATGACCACATAGGAAATCAACAGGAGGAGGAAGTTTAACAGACAAATAAAACCACTATTGGCAGCAACAAAGAGCCCCAGGATATGAGTATCAGTACAGGCAAGATTAAGCAAAGGGTTCAGATCACACATAAAGTGATCTATGACATTTGGGCCACAGAAAGGTAATCTAAATATAAACAGAATCTGTATGGTTGCATGAAGAAAACCTCCCACCCATACCACTCCTAGCAGCAGGCCACATACCCTTCTGCTCATGATGGTTGTGTAGTGTAAGGGCTTGCAGATCGCCACATAGCGATCATAGGCCATCACAGTAAGCAGGATGCCCTCAGCCCCTCCAAAGAAATGCTCCCCAAAGACCTGGGTCATGCATTCATTGAATAGGATGGTCTTTTTTTCATGGAGTGAGTCTATGATCAGTTTAGGAGTATTGACAGAGGAATAACAGGCATCAATGAAAGAAAGATAAGCTAAGAAAAAGTACATAGGTGAGCCCAATGATGGACTGGCAGTGATAGTGACCACGATGAGGACATTGCCTACCATGGAGATGATGTATATGATGACAAATACAGCAAATACGATTTTTTGCATGCTTGGGTTTCTGGTGAGCCCGAGGAGAACAAACTCTGTCACGTTGTTCCTAATTTCCATGTAGTTTGCGTGTTACTCAATTACATTATCTGAAAAAAATATTGTACACTTGGTCAATAAACAAAACACAAGTGTTTCAATTCTATATGAGGTATGAGATTTTATTAAAGGGTTTTCCTGAGAGGGAAGTAAATGCTCCTAGCTCTTGAAGATAACTCAAGTTGTTTTTTTAGACCTTCTGTCAGAGCACAAGGAAGGAAGTCATTTGGAATGGCTAAGAGTCTAATTTGAAATAGTTGACTGGGCACATAGAACCAGTTAAATTTGCAAAGGGATACTCAAGAGGAATTTAAGGTTCACAAAGGCAAAGATATGGAATCTGTCCTTCGTCCCCTTCTTTTTAAAAATAATATTTTATTAGTTCTTTGATTTTTATATAGTACATTTATGTCATATTCACCTCTTATGATCTCTCCAAATCCCCTGTTCCCTGAATACCTAACTTTGTTTTTTTAAAAACACCTTTCAATATTCTTTATTCTAGTGTACAAGAAAACAGGGTCAGGTAGTCGAGAATAGAAATAGGTGGATGAAGATGCAAGTGGGAATGTTTAACTAGTCTTCTCTTGAATGATGTCGAAACCAGAAAAAAGAAGTCCAGTGGGAAGAGTATTTATAATACTTGACAACAGGGGTAAGTAGGCATTGGTGATGAGAATGTGAAATAATTTTGTCTATTGTCTAATCCAATGAACTTATACCTACCTTTCAGTAACTACTTTGTGCAAGGCATAGTAGTAAAGGTTTTGCCTTTATGGTTTCATTCATTACTGATAACAATCCACATGGTTGATTACATTTTCTCAGGTTTACTGATGAGGCAATGATTTCTGATTTCTACAGCAGGCAATCCTAGGGAGGGCTGTCTGTGTTTGTTCTTAAAACTTGGTATGTACATAAATATTCATATTTATATCTTTTATGAGTAGGAAGTATATTTAAATATTTTCTTACTTTCCATGGTTAGTCTTGATTAATAAGGAAGGATTTCATAGCAAAAACAAACTACATTCTACAAATTACTTAGTCTTGCTCAACCTCAAATTTTCATTTACCAAACTAGATCAATCATATTTAGTGAACTATGATTGAATAATTGGATGAAAATGGAAGATGCTATTACTATAGCTAAGGCATTGAGACATAGTGTTTACCATGTAGAAAGTAGAAAGAGATCAACACCATTGAAAACTTACCTTAGTCATTTTAGTAGTTAGAGGTTGATCTTAATTCTGCTTAGGGACATTGGGAACAAACACCACCATCTGAAATCAATTCCTTTTGGAAACAGTAAGTTTCGTTATTAGAGATGTGACACAGTTAAGAAAGATTATTCAGACAATTCAATATTAAATAAACAGTTATTAAAAATTACACATATTAACATGCTATTTTTGTAGATCAGTTATAAAATGTGAAGCTATACAACACAAAGTAAAATATCTTAAAAGTAAAATTGTCTCCATCTAGCCTAGTCTTTAAAACATTTACACAAAAATAGAGATCTTGAATCAGAACGGATTTACTTTTAACACTATAAATGACTGAATCTTGTATGTCACTCTGGTCCTACTAAGTAGGAAACCAAAGTCTGCAGAAAGTGTATGCTTTTATATGAGCCACCTCACCATGCATGATCAATCTTCTCAAATGACAACAAAACATTTCCATCTTACTTTGCACAGATAGTCACAAAGGTTTCTGAAAGGTTCAGGGACATTGTTCTTTCTCTCTCAGGAATTAATTATTTCCTTTGATGGAAAGAGTTTATATATGTATTATTTTCCTAAAATTATGTATTCTGAGGAGACATGTTTGGGCAGGGCCTATTCTTGAATGGGGAATTTATATTCCCTATACTTAGAACCTAAGTCTTCCAATGAACCTGGGTTATTAAGAAGTGGATGCCATGAGAATAACAAAGTACCATAAATATAGTGTGTGGATTTGTGATGTATTTTCTCTGTGGACTTACATTGAGAGAGTTGTTTTATTTTCAATGTTAAGATTTTTTCTGAACATTAAACTGCTGCTTACTTGAGATTTAGAAGAGTGAGGGCATAATTGCTTTCTGATGGACATTGAATAGTTATGTTTTCAAATCTTTCTCCCCTTTCCTCAACATATTCTATATATTAACTCTGTTAGATTTACAGTTGATTTTTTTCCCATTTTACAGTTTGCCTCTATTCAAGTGATTATGTTCTTTCCTGTAAAAAACCTTTTTAGTTTCATGTGGTCCCATCTGTCTATTATTGGTCTCCATACCTATGCTACTAGGGTCCTGTTCAGAAAGCCCTTTATTGTGTCTATAAGTTCAAGCCCATTCCCTACTTTCTCCTCTGTAAAAGTCATGATATAAGATCTTATGTAAAGGTCCTTAATATATTTGATGTTGAGTTTTGTTCAGGGTGAAAGCTTAGGATCTAATTTTATTCTTGTTTATGTAGCTATCCAGTTAGACTATTAGACTAGCACCACTTATTCAAGATGCTATCATCTTTACAATATATATTGTTTGTATCTTCATAAAAAATCAGGTGGCAGTAGGAGCAGTAGCAGTGTAAATTTCTATACAGATACTTAATTTTATTTGATTGATCAATGAAGCTGCTTTTATGATACTATCATGCTATTTTTATTACTGTGGTTTTGTAATATAACTTGGAATCTGTGGTGATTATACCTCCAGCAACTTTTTTTTTCAGGATTATCTTGGTTATCCTGGGTCATTTGTATTTCCATATTAAACTGAAGACTGTAATGTCAATTTCTGTGAAGAACTATGTTGGAATTTTTCAATTTATTTTTCCTATTATTGGAAACCTTTTTTTTTCATATAGTATAAATGGCTAACAGAAAATGAACTTGGTGGAATCCTTAGGGTTGTTTTGTTTGTTTGTTTATTTTTCTTTTGTCTCAATGTTTTGTCAGGGCAGTGTTTTGGTACCTTATAGGTCTTTGCATATATATTTTGGCTTCTGGATTTGTGTTTTTATGGGATTTCTGTGTTGGGATTTTGCTACATCAGGAGGTTGCTTTTGTTAGTATAGCCAATTTTGCAATGCTAATCCTATCAATTTTTGGTTTCCTCATCTTCTAGTATCAGCTTCAATTTCTTTCCAACTTGCTTTAAAGGTTCTCTGTATATCCCTGGCTGTCCTGGAACTCACTCTGTAGACCAAGCTGGCCTTGAACTCAGAAATCTGCCTGCCTCTGCCTCCCAAGTGTTGGGATTAAAGGCATGCGCCATCACTCCGGTAACTTTAAAGTTTTTGTCAGAGGAGTCTTTCCTTAGTTATGTTACTTTAAACTGTTTTATCTTTTTTGAGGCAATTGTAAATTGTATATCTTTTAATATTTTTCTTAGCATGTTTTTCATTTGTATATAGGGAAGCTACTGATTTTTCTGTGTCATTTTTATATCTTGATACTTTAATTAATCAGCTATAAGAGTTTTCTGGTGGATTCTTTTTTTTATAGAAATACATCATCTATAAATAAGTATACTTTAACTTCTTCATTTCCTATTTGTATTTCCTTCACTTTTCTTATTGCTCTAGCTAAGATATCAATTACTATGTTGAATAGGTGAGATAGAGTGGACACCTTTGTCTAATTCTTGATTTTAATAGAAGTGTTTTGTGTCATTTTCTGTTTAGGATCATGCTGATTGTGGGCTTTTTATATATTGCCTTTATTATGTTGAAATAGGTCTACCATATCCTTAGTTTCTTCAGGACTTTTATTATGAATGGATACTGAATTATGTCAAAGGCCTTTTATTCATGTAATGAGATGATCATGTGGACTATGTCTTTTACTCTATTTATATGGTATATTACTTAGGCAAACCCAAATCAGATCACATCAACATATGGAGGAAGAACTAGGCATAAAACTCCAGCCTTAACCAAAGAACTATTGTTAGCTACTGAGATAGGGAGATTAAATTTTCTCCAAAAGTTAGATCATGCCCTAGTGGAAGGTCATACATTCAAGAACACTTGGGTAGCTGATATTTGACTTGATGGGTTAAAAAAAGGAAGAATAGAGAAGGGGGTTGTAGATCTGAAAAGATTTAGGAAAGGAGGTAATAATGACTAAACACACTTAAGTTCTCAAAGAACTATGACTATATTAGGAGATAGGAAGAAATAAAATGTATATCAATAAGAAAAGAAATAGAAAAATTATCCTTATTTACAGATGATATTTTAATATTCTATAAAGACTGAACCATAAAACAAACCAGATAATTTTTTTCATCAAAGGTAGATTATAATAAATTTACATAACCAAACTTAATTTGTAGGGTCTAGCCCAGCAAATATCCCTTATCTCCTCATCCTCATATTCTCCCCAACCCTCTAGATATAGCATGGATCCCAAATGAAGTGCCCAGTCCTAGTCTTGCCATCCATACCTGTGCCACAACCAACTTGTAGGCTTCTGGTAGTACCAACTCTTCTTGTCACATCCCATATAGCCTCCTGAGATATATCTATACCATCTGTATCTATATCTGTATCTATATCTGTATCTATCTCTATCTCTATCTCTATCTCTATCTCTATCTCTATCTCTATCTCTATCTCTATCTCTAGATATATCTTCTTCACACAGACAGAACTCCTATATAAATGGTCTATCCTGGTAAATCTCTCTGACCTTCCCATCTTGAATTTCTCTCTAAATAGCCCAAAATAGCCCTTGTCTTACATTCAGTGTCTCAACTTGCTTTGGCCTCCTCTTCTGATGCCAAAACAGATCTCTAGGCTTCTGCTGAGATCTTCCTTACGTATCCCCTAACCCATAAGTCCCTCCTACATCTCATCCTACCTATCTACCCAGAAAGATCTATCCTCACATTCCAGGCTTGGAACAGGAAGCACACCTGTACAGCAGTATAATTCTCTCTGTATACTTGACTTTATTCCAAACACAACACATTTCCAAATTGTGTTTCTATCCTGTCCATGTACTCTCTCTCTCTCTGC